TCTCAAGGTAATTGGCCAATACTTAGCAGGTTACATTTGATTCATGGAATATACAAGACATCTTTGATCAAAGAATTCCCACCATCCCTCCTCATGATCAAAACATCACTGGTCCCATTGGCTATTAGAGTGGTGTCATCAGTGAACTTTACTTTGTTCTTTATGGAACGATTGATTTTGACAAACCAATCCTTTCTTTTCGTCATATGAGTTGAAAAACCCGAGTCCAAATACCATTCTTCACTGCATTGAACTATTTTCACACTCATCATGGCGCCTTCCTCTTCATGCAACCGGATAATCGTATCATTCAACCGACCACAACTTAATTTTTCAAAAATCTTTGAGCTGCTGTTCCGCAGCTGTTTGCTGCTGCAATTCTCTTCCGTAATCAAGAATAAGAGTGTATTCTCTTCATCAAACTCTTGCCTTGCAACATTAGCTTAATTCCCTTGAGATTCCTTCCTGTTCAAGTTGCACTCTTTTGCAAAATGACCAAATCTTTAACACTTGTAGCATTGCTCCTTGCTTTTGTCAAACCACTTTTTTCTCGTTTCTAAAGTTTCCTTGACCATCATTTTTGTTGCAGCTGCTATCACCCATTTGACAAGTCGAATTGTTTGAATTTTGGGACTCTTGTGCTTCTCATTGAAACGAGCTTATAAAAAGATCTCTGCATATGTCTTATCATTATTTCTCTCCTCAATCCTTTGCTTATGAGCCTCAAGAGATCTTTACAACTCCTCTTTGCTTGCTGTTGCAAAATTCTTCAATTCTTCAATCGTCACAACCACATTGTCAAATTTAGTGTTAAAGAATGCAAGATTTTAGGGACAACATACTACTCTGTAACAGGTTCTCTGCATCCCTTCACTTGATTCACCAATTGAGTGATTCTTGTAGTGAAATCGTAGAAGGTCTCATTTTCCTCCATTTAAATCAGTTGAGCCGATGTTTGTGAGTTTGTAACCTAACCACCTTCGCCTTGTAAGCCCCTGCATAGGCCTTCTCTAAGATCTCTCACGCTTACTTTGACGATTTGCAATCACTAACTTTCTCAAAATTTTCGCCATCAACACATTGATGGATCAAAAACAACGCCTTGAGATCTTTCTTCTTTTCTTCCTTATGTCTTGCTTGTTGCACCTCTATTGCATTACCTTGAAGAGGAGTAACACCATTCTTGATCACTTAAAGAACATCTTGGTAGCCAAACAACACCTTCATTTGCATACACCATTTGTCATAATTATTCGCATCAAGGGTATGTAGATTTGCAAGAATTCTGTCATTAGAGACAAAATTAATGTTGCACACTAGGTGTTTGTGGATCGAACCAGACTCTTGATGTCAAATGTTTGAAAAAGAAACCACAAGTTTGGTGAAAAAATGCTGGAGACAATTTTGAATGGAGAGAGAGAGAGAGAGAGAGAGAGAGAGAGAGAGAGAGAGAGAGAGAGAGAGAGAGAGAGAGAGAGAGAGAGAGAGAGAATTGATGGTGAGAAGTGTGTGCATCCTAAACACTTATAATATGAGATACAAATACAATTGAAAACTGAATTAACAAAATAAAGTATCAGAAAAAACAAAATATCACATTTGTAACCGGCTACACTAAAGTAGGTAACCGGTTACATCTGACACTAAATTAAATTCGAATTAAATCAATTTGAGTGTTAACCGATTACACCTACGAAAACTCCACATTTCCACTACTTAATTGAACCTCAGACCATGCTGTAACTGATTACGTATCCGTGATAACCTATCACATCACTCGAATTACATGAAAAACATCAACACAACCGGTGCTTACCATCAAGCATAGGGAGACAAGTCTAATACCAACCACTTCTGATCTATATCGGATCATAAGCATTAGAGACATTCTTACCATTTGATATAACCAAACAATTTAAAAATATAGATTTTTATTATTCTTTTCCGTTTAAAAAGATATTAAACTGAAATCTAAATTATCTTATGTTAATCAACCAATAATTCAAATATGTAAATATATGTACTCAACCTGATCTTTGAGACTTTGCAACCGAGACAGTGTGAAAAGAAGAGAGGAAAAGTTGGTTTCGCTTTTTGTTCTCATCAAAATTGATTGGAGAAAGACTTTAAGACACGAGACACAAAGATAGTTTGGCAAGAATATTGAAAGTGAAAAATATTGGAAAATAAGAAATCAACCTTTGTCATAACTTTCAAACAGGAGAAAACGAGAGATAAAGATAAACCACAAGTATTTGAAGAAAAATATATTACAGGCAGGAAATGTATGCATTGACTTGAGTTTCTTGTTGTACAAGTTATATGTATAGTTTGACCTTTCTTCTATTGTATGACGATACTGAATTATAAATTGAACTAAGGATAGAAGATTTATTGAGATTGTGATTTGTGAGACATAGCAATGTCAAAAGTAGGAAGAATGAAGTTGGGATCTCAAGGCATGGAAGTGTCCTTACAAGGACTTGGTTGCATGAGTATGTCTGCTTTCTATGGTCCTCCTAAGCCTGAATCCGACATGATTGCTCTCGTCCATCACGCCATTCAATCTGGTGTCACTTTTCTTGATACCTCTGATTTCTATGGACCTCACACCAATGAACTCCTTCTTGGAAAGGCTTTGAAGGGAGAGGTGAGAGAGAAAGTTGAACTAGCTACGAAATTTGGAGTCAGAGCTAGGGAAGGGAAATATGAGATTTGTGGTAATCCAAATTATGTTAGAGAAGCTTGTGAAGGTAGCTTGAAGAGACTTGATATTGATTGTATTGATCTCTATTATCAACATCGTATTGATACTCGTCTTCCTATTGAAGTCACGGTTCGATTCTTTTCTTTCCGTTTTACGATAAGATATAATGCTGTCAATCTATCATATGAGATTGAAATTTTTTGATTTTTCTTTGTAAGATTGGAGAGCTTAAAAAACTCGTTGAAGAGGGGAAAATAAAATACATTGGTTTGTCTGAGGCGTCAGCTGCAACAATCAGAAGAGCACATGCAGTTCATCCAATAACAGCTGTGCAGTTGGAGTGGTCATTATGGTCACGAGATGTCGAGGAAGAAGTTATTCCAACTTGCAGGTGTGATATTTAGTTTGCAATGATTTGAATCACTGACTTTAATCCAAAGTGTCGATTCTACATAGATATGAATTCTAACTTGATGAGTTATGATTTCGTTTCTTAGGGAACTTGGTATTGGAATTGTGGCATATAGTCCTCTTGGGCGAGGATTCTTTTCGTCGGGACCAAACTTGCTTGAGAACTTGTCACATGATGATTACCGGAAGGATTTGCCTCGATTTCAACCTGAAAATCTGCAGCAGAATCAAACTATATTTGACAAAGTTAATGAACTGGCGGCAAAGAAAGGGTGTACACCGTCTCAGCTTGCACTAGCTTGGCTTCATCACCAAGGAAACGACGTGTGCCAAATACCGGGAACAACCAAAATTGAGAACTTGAATCAAAACATTGGTGCTTTATCTGTCAAACTAACACCAGAAGAATTGGCAGAAATTGAGTCCTTAGCAGATGGTGTTAGGGGTGATAGATATGCTGACAAATGAAGTGCTTTTCTTCCATAATGCTCATACTAGTATTGTACCTTTGGTTGTATAAATCAATGTTTGAAAAATCAAACTGGACGATTCAACCGTAAACATTGCTATATAATTTGTTATGTGTTTGAGGGCATGTAAGTTATCTATTGTTTTTAGCTTCAAGTATTTAGTTTCTATTTTGAAAATTTGAAATATGTTTTAACTACTTTGATTGGTGGACTGTTAATGATGGGAACTTGACTGAGATTGATGAGTTATTGTAAACATACGATAATGGGAATAGATGTAGGTGGAGGATAAACACGTGAGTCACATGACTACATTGACCATTGCTCAGACTACTAGGGGACGAGTTGGCAAAAATTGGCACAGAAAGACGTACATTATCCATTAGATTAATGCCTGGTGGAGAAGAACCTTTGGACACTTGTAGTTGAGGAAAAGGGTAGAGATTCAATGTCACTAGCGTGTGGATAATAGATGGAAGTGTCCAAAGGAAAATGAGTGAGAAAGGGAAACAAATGCTCATAAAATATGGCATCTTTAGAAATGAAAGTCTTGTCAGATTTACTCAAGCACTTATAACCGTGATGTTGGGATGAGATTCCTAAGAACACACACTACCAACTTCTAAACTCCAATTTGGGTTTGTTTTAGGGTCTAGTTAATGGAAAACATGAACAACCAAACACTCTAATTGTGTCATACCTAGGTAACTTGTGATACAAGACATGGTAAGGTGACTAAAATTTTGTGAGTTTTTCCGATGACAACTTGTTAATAACATTAACTAAGGTAGCAAAACTATGCTTCTAATATGATAGAGGAATTAAGGCACAAGACATCAAAGTGAGGCCTATTTCTATAATGTGCCTGTGTTTTCTCTCCACTGTACCATTTTTGTGAAAAGTGTGAGGGCAAGTTAGTCTATGAAAGATGCCTAATTCAATCAAGAACAAGGACCCAAATTATCCCTCATAATTTGATTGGAGGGCTTTAATTGTAGTATGAAGTTGGGTTGCACAAACTTATGGAATAATTGAAGGCATTAAAAGCTTTTGAATTATGCATCATGAAGTAGATCCAAGTTTATTTGGAATAAGCATCTACAAATGCAATGTAATATAAAAACCAGATGTGGAGGGAAATGGTGTAGGCCCCCAAAGATCTGTATGCATCAGTTCAAAAGGACTCCTGTACACAAATAATGAAGGAGAAGCATGAAGACTATGTGACTTGCCAAACTGTTGACTTATTGGAAATCAAAATGTTACAATTCTAAAGAGCTATCCCAACAGCTAGGAAATTGTCGTGACCTAACATATAATGCCATGAAAGACTAGGATTTTATTTATTTACATTAGAAACAATTGCTGTATATCAATCAATATGAACATAAAAATACGGTTGAACGATAATATTAATTCCCTAAGCCAGGAGTAAATGGTACACCTGTAGAAGGAATCCATGTATTTCCAGAAATTAATTGGGCTACTGTGAAGTTAATAGCCTCCTTAGAATCGTTAAGAATATGATACCCTCTCCATTTTATACGATTTTCTAGCACAGCTCCTGGTCCAGAATTTTGAAATTCAGCATAATATAACGTGTCAGAATATTCGGGATGCCCCACCCATTCTGACCACCCTTCTGGACTCACCACACTAGTTATATTAGACTGCATGAACACTGTTTTTGAGTGCGCACGCCATGGCCTTCCGAGATAGGTTTTAGTAGTTTCCACCACCGGAAGAAGGTTGGAATCAGCATAAATGTTGCAGAATTGTAATACAAAACCAAATGGAATGCTAGGATCATGCTCTCCTCCTTGAGCGGTAATGGTATTATATTGACCTGGTAATCCTTTCTTAACTGATATGTCACACTTTTGAAAAACTGCAGCCGCAGAACCAAATATAAAATCAATTGTCCCACTTATAATGCACTCTCTATAAAATTGAAGTCGAGAGTGAGCGTAGAGACTGTCTTGATAGCCATCAATTTTACACCGATAAAAGATGGATTTGTCCGAACTTGACCTTAATGCAACAGCTTGCTCATTAAAAGGTCCGGCAGTGTTCTTAAAAGTGATATCTCGTGCTATGAAACCACTGCCATCAACACCTTGAAAAAAAATATTAAGTTAATATTATCCAAACAAGTTGATTCAATACGAGAGAAAATATATTAATTTCTTTACCAAAGGTAGCTGTCTTGAATGTAGTCAAGTTGTTTTGGCGATGACTCAAATTACCAGAAATAACTGTAACATCCATTCCATCTCCTTTAATCATGAGGTTCGACTTATCTTCACCAACAATCACATTTTCCATGTAAATCCCCTGCTTCACTTGTATCACAAAACGTTTCTTGCTATACTTTGGCGCTGCTAACACCGCGTCCATTACTTTAATGAAATCTCCCGAACCATCACTAGCAACAACGATATCAACATGAACATCATCATTTGTGAGCAGCATGGTGTCTTGTCCTTCCACCCAAGTTGGAAACTCCTCTTTAAAGGAGACTTGATTTGAAACAGATTGTACAACAAAAGGAGTGCACAAAATGAACGCCATTACAGTTAGTTTCAAGTTGATCACCATTGTTGAAGGGTGCATTATAGCTTGAAACAGAGTTTAAGTGTTTATAATACTTGTAATAACCATGAACAAACCTCTTAATTTATAGACTCAAATTATTTTTCAAATTTAAAAATTAAATAAAGTCTTGACAGTAGGAAAAACATAAATAGAGAAGTCACATTGCAGACTCTATTCCATAAATTATAAGAAAGGAACGTTTTACTGTTAAGAATTATTACATATATATATCATTTTTTTATTAAATGATTTGGTGGGTAAGTTCGTGAATAGAACTTTTTGGAGGGAAATAAAAAAAAACGACTTTAAATATCTTTTCTTTTTCACTTTGTTCTTATTTTATTGCAATATGAAAAATATTTATATATTTACTACATTTTGCAAAATTTAGACTACACTTTGATGAGTGTAATATAGAAAAGTTTAAACTTAATTTTACTTTTGACTCTCATATATAATATCGCAATAATGTGATTTTTGTGCCTTATAAAATTTTAACTAATATTTTTTCATTTATAATTTGGTAATCTCCCTTTCAATGAATATAAGAAATGACTCAATTTGTGGTCCAATTTTTAAAAGGCTGTAGTCTAAAAAAGCTCATACAAATTAATAAATAAATCTCCCACAAACTGTAAATCCTAAAATCAATAATTATTTGTAACAAAAAAATTCAAATAATAAAAAGTTTGGTGAAAAATTAAATTTATAATTTTAATGTTTTAAAAAGTTAAAAATAAAGAGAATTTTTATTTTTTATTTTTTTGTGAAGGTTTATGTAATAAGACAAAATATGGAGAAGGACCTTGAGAATGCTAAGTCAGCAATTCAAGTGTGTAAGAGCCCACATAGAATGTAAGAGAAGAATTTTGTTGTGAGTGATCCGGAAATTCAGGACAGCCGTAGAAGTACCAAGTTGCGCAAGACCAATACTCAATTGAAGGATTTCATTACTGTGCGTATAAAATAGAATGATAAGGGAACTAGGGTTTATTATGTGTGAATTGTGAAGTATCTCTCTCCCTCTAATACTTTCTCTGTATTCACATATTTTGTATTACCAAATCCTTCTACTTGGTAGAGGTTGATACTGATTTAATCAAACTTTCCCTTATTTTCTCTCTAGCATTATTTCTACCATTTCATTGGTGCTTTCATCTCACCATGACAGAAAACACCAGGATGAAAGAGCTATCAACCGAAGTGAAGAAAAATGCAGAGGACATCAAGAAGTTGTATGATGAAGTTCAGATCCAATTCGAGTGTTTCTGTGCAGTGAATGAAACTCGTTTTCAATAGATGGAGGAACTACAATCATCAACTGATGGGAAACTAGATCAGATCAACGAAGCTCTTTCATTGCTCTTACGCAACTCTCCTCAGAATTCTTCCCATGGTGTTGCGAACTCAACCAAAGCTCCGTTTCAGGTAAGAAATATTAAGCTTGACTTCCCCCGTTTTGATGGAAAAAATGTGATGGAATGAATTTTTAGAGCTGAGCAGTTTTTTGATTATTACGAAACCCCCGATAAGGATCGATTAACTATCACATCTGTTCATCTGGACCAAGACGTGGTTCCTTGGTTTCAAATGATTTAGAGAACACATCCTTTTAATTCCTGGTTCAAATTCACTAGAGCTCTAGAATTGGATTTTGGACCTTCAATCTACGATTGTCCCCGAGCTTCATTGTTTAAGCTTAATCAAACTGGAACTGTGAGTGATTATTACCTGCAATTTACAGCGTTAGCAAACAGGGTCTATGGGTTAAGCATTGATGCTCTTGTTGACTGCTTTATCAGTGGCTTAACTAATGAGATTAGGAGAGATGTGATGATTCACACTCCTATCACCATTGTGAAAGTTGTGTCCCTAGCCAAAGTTTACGAAGAAAAATACAATTCCGCCACCAAACTACAAAAAAAAAAACCAAAACTAACACACACAATACCAAAATAGAACTCTCTTCAATTCAAATAAAATAGACTTCACGCAAAAACCTAATAACCCACCATTACTTCAAACACCACCCACAAGACCAATGAACCCTAACCAAAAGAATCCAAATATCAGAAGAATTACCCCAGCTGAGATGCAATTGAGAAAAGAGAAGGGACTATGCTATTGGTGCGGTGAGAAATTCTCATTTAGCCATAAATGTCCAAACAAACACTTGATGTTGCTGCAATATGAACCAGAACCTGAAGATAAAATTGAGGAGGAGCTAGAGCCACCGGACCACACACAAAACACAGTAAAACAAACAAAAACTAAACATCACTTATCCCTAAATGCTTTGAAAGGGGCTAACAGTCTAGGGACAATGCGTTTTATGGGAAAATTTGGCAAACTCCAAGTGCAAAGACTTGTTGATGGGGGCAACTCTGATAACTTTGTGCAACCGAGAATCGCTCATTTCCTAAAACTACCAGTGGAACCAGCACCATGCTTTAAGGTGTTGGTGGGAAACGGACAAACTATGACAGTAGAGGGGGTAGTGAATAAATTGCCAGTGGTCATTCAAGATCACGAGATGCTTATTCCTGTGTACCTATTACCCATAGCAGGAGCAGACTTGATTCTTGGTACAACTTGGTTGGCTACTTTAGGGCCCCACGTGGCAGATTACTCGGCTTTGACCTTAAAATTTTTCCACAAAGGAAAATTCATTACATTGCAAGGTGACACAAGTATGGGACTCGGGCAAGCTCAGTTACATCAGCTGAGAAGAATGCAAAACACTAGAAGTATTGATGAAGTATTCACTATAGAGAGAGTACAAGCTAGTGAAAGTAATGTCATGTGGGATGAGATGCCAGCTAACATATCACCTGAAGTGGTTGTGCTTTTATACACCTACAGAGGAATTTTCAAGACACCATAAGGTCTACCACCCCAAAGACCTCAGAACCATGCTATTCCCTTGAAAGAAGGCTCAAACCCGGTCAAAGTAAAGCCATATAGGTACCCCCACAGTCAGAAGGAACAGATAGAAAAGATGGTAAAAGAAATGTTGGATCAAGGAATCATTCAGCCTAGTAATAGCCCATTCTCATCTCCTATTGTCTTAGTGAAAAATAAGGATGGGAGTTGGAGATTTTGCACAGATTATCGAGCCTTGAACGCTATTACAGTGAAGGATAGTTTTCCTATGCCTACTGTAGATGAGTTGCTAGACGAATTATGTGGTGCTAAGTATTTTTCAAAGTTGGATTTAAGATCGGGTTATCACCAAATATTGATCCAACCAGAGGATAGACACAAGATTGCTTTTAGAACCCACCATGGTCATTATGAATGGCTAGTCATGCCATTTGGATTAACCAACGCACCAGCTACCTTCCAATGCCTCATGAATCAAATTTTTCAACATGCCCTGAGGAAATATGTGTTGGTCTTTTTTTATGACATTCTTGTGTATAGCAATACTTGGAAGGACCACATCACACACCTGCAAATTGTTTTACATGTATTAGAGCAAAATACCTTATATGTGAAACTATCAACATGTGCTTTTGGGGTGGAAGAGATAGAATATTTGGGACATGTGGTGTCAGGCAAAGGTGTAACAATGGAGGCTACCAAAGTGGAAGCAGTTACCAAGTGGCCAAGACCTATAAATTTGAAACAGTTGAGAGGCTTTTTAGGTCTGACCGGCTACTATAGAAGATTCATAAAGTCATATGCTAAGATAGCAGCACCCTTAACAAACTTGTTAAGAAAAGATGCTTTTGGTTGGAATGAAACAACACAACAAGCTTTTGAAGAGCTGCAACGAGCTGTGACTTTTGCACCAGTGCTAGCTCTACCAAAATTTCAACATACTTTTATTCTGGAAATTGATGCTTCAGGAATGGGAGTGGGGGCAGTCCTTCATCAAAATGGTCATCCAATTGCATTTTTCTCAAAGAAGTTAGCACCAAGAAACCAGAAAAAATCAGCTTACTTTAGGGAAATATTGACAATATCTGAAGTTATTTCTAAGTTCAGACACTACTTGTTAAGGAGCAAGTTTATCATTAGAACTGATCAGAAGATTTTGAGAAGCTTAATGGATCAAAGCCTACAGACACCTGAACAACAAGAGTGGTTGCATAAATTCCTGGGGTATGATTTTGTCATAGAATATAAGCCGGGTAAGGAGAATATAGCTGCAGATTCCTTGTCCAGAATGTTTATGATGTCATGGTATGAGCCAAAAACATAATTTATGCAACAATTGCTAGAAGAAGTGAGCAATAATGACAAACTGCAAGAGCTCACAACGCAGTGCAAAAATCAACCACAACTGAAGCCTCATTACACCACCAAAGGGGGACTACTTTATAGGAAAGGTAGGGTGGTTATACCTGATAACTCTGAACTGATTCAAATGATTTTGAAGGAGAATCATACTTCTCCCATAGGGGGACATTCAGGAAATTCTAGAACCATGGCTAGAATTGCTTACCAATCACTAGTAAAAAAATAACATTTTAGCAGAGGTTTTTAAGTCAGTTCACTTGTCGCCTGACTTAAGAAATGATACGGTGGCAATTTCGTAAATATTGGCAACTTAGTTAGGTCGGGTGCATTTAAAACCGACCTAAAAAAAATTAAAAATATATATATTTTATATTAAATTTCTTAAGTCACATGTATGTGTTTATTAATTGACTTAAAAAATCTAGTTTTTAAGTCAGGTGTCAGCCACCTGACCTATGAAGTTTTATATACTCCTAACAAAATGCAGGTTCGATTCCAACTTGAAACAAGTTAGTGAAATAAAACAATAATACTAAAAAAATCGTCTGTTCCTTTTCGTTTCCAGATTTAGGTTTCGTCACCATACTCACACTTTTCTCTCCAGGTTCTCTCTCTTCTCCCTAGCCGCCACTCTCCTTCGAAAATCCCCTTTACCTCTTCATCTTTCCCTCACCGTAAAATACCATCACCATCGTCCAACTACCCTGTTATGGGTGAGAAGTGCCCAATTGATAAAAATAATGTGAATGAGGAATTGGATGATGACATGGAAA